AGAAGAAAGGTCTGTCCGAGGACATTCTCGTCCACGCCCGCAGATTCGGGAGGACCAGGTGTTGGCGCGCCCCCGTTCCAGACAGGCGCCGCGGCCCAGGGAGGTTAAACGGCTTGCCTCAGTGGCAGCAGGGGCCGAGGGGTCTCTCCACGGACAGCCCGCGCCCGTCCTCCCCCAGCGCCGCACCGACACACGCGGTAATGCCCCAGTACACATACCGCACACGCCACACACACACACACACACTACACATCACTCACGTACCACACACATCACACACACACACACCACACATCACTCACATACCACACACATCACTCACACACCGCACACATCACACACACACTACACATCACTCACACACCGCACACATCACACACACACACTACACATCATTCACACACCACATACATCACACACACACACACTACACATCACTCACGTACCACACACATCACACACACACTACACATCACTCATGTACCACACACATCACACACACACACACACTACACATCACTCACACACCACACACACCACACACACACTACACATCACTCACATACCACATGCTACACACACCGCACACCACACTCCACATACACCATGCACTCACACATACCCTGTGCACCACACACACACTAGACACACACACCCATCCCCCACACCACACACACTGCACACACCCTACCTCACACACACCCCACACACCACACATCACATACACACTATATACACACTACACAGTGCACACATACACATACACATTTCACACACACACACAACACCCACAATACAGACCACACACACCCCACGCACAGGCCCCTTCGTGACGGCTATCCGGAGATCAGGGTTCTTGATTTCCCGAGCCTTCTTTCACGTGAGTCCGAGCTAAGAGATTCAGTTTCTGAAGATTATAAAAATGGTGATATTATCTTCTAATGAGGAAGCATTTTCATGTGGCGCACAATGCATGCTGTGTTTCCCGAGCGCTCACTACAGGCCGGGCGTTCTGCTGTGGGCTTCTATTTATTAGCAGCACCTCACTTTACGCTCACAGGCACCCTGTGAGGCAGGTACTGTTGTTTCCGTTATGGATGAAGAAATGAAGTTTCAATGAAGCTAAGTTACTTGCCAAAGGCGCCAGGTTTGTAAGTGTCAGAGCCAGACGTCGAACCCAGGGTCCCCGACTGAGTTCTCAGCCCTTCAGTGTTCAACGCCTGGTTTAATCGCCCTGCAGCCTCAGAGGTGCAGGTTTTCTCCATGTCACAGACGAGCCCGCACCTTGGAGCAGCCCAGTGGCCCAGCTCATACCTCCCTTAGAGTCCGGGCCTCCTGAGTCCTGGCTGTCCCCATTCCACCGGGTGCCCCTGTCCTCGCCCTGACCGTTCTTCCTTCCCAGTCTCAGGCCAGCCCCTCTACCTGAAGAACATCTCCACGGACACGTCGGGTTACTACATCTGCACCTCCAGCAATGACGTGGGGACGACGTCCTGCAACATCACTGTGGCCGTCAGACTTCGTAAGAGCAGCTTGGGGAGGGAGGGGTGACGAAGGCCAGAAGGTGGCTGGCTGGGGTGCAAAGAGTCATGTGAGATCACCAAGGAGATGAATTAAGGAGTCCCTTTAGGGCCACCCACCTGCAGGGTAGCTGCGGGGGCGTAGGCAGGACAATTCCCGTCCCAGGTCCCCCTGCTTTGAGGCCAGGCCTGTTCCACTGGTTCTTTGGAGGTGGAGCCTAGGACTGACTTCTGGAGGCTTCCTCAGTCCTGTCTGCCCTGAGGGCCACTCGGTAAGCATGGGGAAGTGCCCAGAGCCAGCTGCCACAGAGTCTGGACCCCATCGTTTTGGGGGGAAGATGCCACATCTAGCTCAGGGAGCTGGCAGGGCTGACACCCACGGACTTTTTCAGAGCCTGGGTAGCTGGAGGGTGTTAAGATGTGAAGCTGTTGGTCTGTCTGTCCTTGTCTGCGCCTCCATCTGGAAGAGTATTCCCTGGCCATGTCTGGTCACATCCTGCGGGACCATGCTTTTCATGGAGTGTCGCCAGAAGCTGGCGGCTGCTGTTCCCTCGACTGGGAGGAGGGCCGGGAGCCAGGCCGGCTCAGGAGGTGCAGCTGCCCTGTCCTCTGGCAGCCTCCATGAACGTGGCGCTGTATGCGGGCATAGCCGGGGGCGTGGCTGCGGCCTTCATCATCATTGGCATCATCATCTACTGCTGCTGCTGCCGAGGGAAGGACCAGGCTGAGGACAAGGAGGACGCGAGGCCGTGAGTGTCTGGGCGGGCTGCCTGTTGGAAGGGGCTGAGCTGATTGGAAATCACATCCCAACTCCTCAGAGCCTCTCCCACTTGCAACACCCCTGGCGGGCATCTCCCCCATTTTGCAGCAGAGAAAAGAGTGACCTGCTGTCATAAAGTGTGCCTTGTAGTCCTGGGACTTGCCTCCGTGGCCTGTGGTTTCCAGGCTCAGAGCTGAGGACAGGGCTTCCTGGGGCGGGCCCGGAGCCAAGTGTGGGCTGGAGCCTCTGTCCCGGGGCCAGTCCCTCCTCGGCTAGTGGAGCCAGCCTGACTCTGTGACGCCCTCAGCTCATGAGTGGAACTCATCGTGGCACCCTCCCGTCTACTCTGAGCTCCGCCCTTCAGCCCAGCGCCCCTTGCAGCAGGAGGGGTGGGGCTGGCAGGTCTGGGGGCTGCTCTTGCCATAACGTGCGCTGGGCCCAGCTCCCCTGGGGGTCCGAGGGCAAATCCTTCCCCTATGTCCTCACTGCCCTGTAGGAATCGGGCAGACTACCAGGAGCCGCCGGAGCAGCTGACAGAGCTTTCCAGAGGCAGGGAAGAGGAGGACAACTACAGGCATGAAGACCCGACCAGCTCTGGGCGCGAATCCCCGGACCCCCCTGGCCAGTGACGGGGCCTGCTGCGGGGTGGCGTGGAAGAAGATTAGGGGCTTATTCTCCTGCTTCCTGGCCTCCCTCTCCTCTTCAGGCCCCATTCTCCTGACCCTCCATGCTAGACATCGATGGGATGCCTCCTCCCTGTGTCTGCTGCTGGGGCACTTGCCTGGCCTGGTAAGGGGGTCCCTCCTGTGACTGACACTACCAACCACCCTGTCCTATGAAGTGACACCTCCCCACTGCCACACCTAGTGCAGGGCCTGGCCCTCACCCTGGACCAGGCCGCAGCCTCCACTTTCCGAGTAGCTGGTGGGAGCCCCTGGAAGCACAGCACCGTGCGGGGGGCACTCCTGCTCAGAACGCTCCAGGGAGGCAGTGCCAGCCCCAGGAGGCCTGCCCTGCTCACCCATGTGTCTGGCACCTAGGGGAGCACCTGGCAGAGCGTTTGCACTCCATGCATTTTTGTCGAATGACTGAAAGAATAAACGAGTATGTGAAAGATTCTCTATTATTCATCAACTTAGTGCAGACTCCTTGCTTAGGGCCCTCCAGCCTCCAGCTCCCTTTCCAGCCCCATTTCCCTCAACTGCCCAAACATTCCAGACCCTCCTGGCAAGGGCCACCTCCCACTCCTGCTGCACACGCCCTCCTGGGACTTCTGCCCACACACTTTCCATCCCTGCCTGTCAAAACCGCACCCCCATCTCAAATCACAGCGATTTCTATAGCCCTGTGCTGGTCGCCCACACACGTGGAAACGGTCCTGCCGCTCTGCCCGCACCCAGTCATGGGCCACGTGGTGCCACGTAGTTCGCCCATCTGAGCGAACGTGTCGCTGTGCGGGAGCGCGAGCTCTTTGGGGCAGGCATGGGCCTCACGGCGCCTGCTTCCCCTGGAGCCCCGGCCCCTGGCGCCCTGTCCTGCCGAGCACGCAAGCGAGCTTAGCTCGAGAAACTGCTGTGAGGGTTTGGGCCTTCCCTTCTCTGGTCTCCCTGAGATGACTGTAGACACAAGGATGACTCCCACCGCAGTTAGTTTAGTGAGTTATTAATAAAAACGAGTTGATTTGCAATGAACACGCATGCAGGAGCGTGCTCGCAGATGGCCCAGGTTCCCACGTCCCGGAGATTCCTCGCAAGGCCAGAATATTGGCCTCTCTCCCTCCCCAGCCCAGGCTGTGTTCCTGGTTCCTGGTTCCTGACACCTTACCCCGGCCCCTCCCAGCCCTCCCGGCCTGGGATTGCTGGCTGCGCGGTCTTGTTGCCCTCCCAAAGCCATTTCTTCTCCTCTTGAGAGCTCAGGCAGGTGAGGGCTGCTTAGGTCTCCCGGCCTGGTGGCTGGTCTCACCCAAACGCAGTTCACTATTAAATAAATATTGTTGTCTTCCCTGGGTGATCAGAAGAACTATTCCAAAAGTCTATTGTCCACTTGTGATTTTTTTAAAAAAACATGTATTTTTATATTTTTTGTTACATTCTTTGCTTTATTCAAATGTTTTCAGCAATAATAAAACTGTTGGTGGAAATTCTTATTTCTTTTTTAATGTGGGTTTTGTTCACACTGAGGTAGAGCCTGTGTCTGGTGTGTCTGTGTCTGCTTACCACAGGCCTCCTCTGCTTCCTAGGAGCAAGGCGACGGCGTCGAGAGTCCTGGGGTCGCATTGCCTGTGGCCACGGTAGGGGCAGGCGGTATCCCTGGCGGTTGCTGGGAGAGGACAGCGCCGTGCCTGGTAGTAAACGTATAATCCAGCTGCCTGCAGTGTCAGGAAGACCCTGGCAGGCCTGGGAGTCAGTCCACACGCTTCTGCAATGACAGTGGAGATGCTCTTGCTGTTTATGCTCCTGTGGCCTCCCTCCTGGCGGGGGCATCCTCTTGTTCTGTCAGAGAGAACTGTGACTCTTCTCCCCCAAAGCAACTTAGCTCCGCAGTCAGACCTTGGCTTTGACCTTGACTCCCCTGGGACACATTCAAGGTCCTCTCCTCCATGCCCTTCCCGTGGGGCTCTGTGCTCCCTTCTGTCCCAGCACCCATCACATGGTAATGTCGTGAGGTCTGTCTCTGCCTGGGCCTGTGTGATTCGTGAGGCTAGGAACCGAATCTTCCTTACGGCTGGCACGTGCTGACTCATGATAAAGGTTTGCTGAATGAATGTTTGGTGTCACAGTATCTTACTCAAAGACATCCATCTCCTAGAGCTCTAGATACTCTGAGGTGCCTTCCAGCCCTCATGGTGGAAGGTTCCACAAACATGTCCTTGAGGTAGCCATGGAAGAGGACGCAGCCACCTTCCCCCGGTTTGACCTGACTTTTCTCTCTGCCCTTCAAAGAGCTCTGAAGCTTCGCCTGCCTTAGCTCCAGGCTTTGGGAGGAAAATGAGGGAAATTAGGACCCATTACATTAATTCAACAACAAATATTTTGTGAGCACCAACTATGTGCCAAGCACTGTGCTGGCTGCAGGGTACAGAAAGGTCACGGAGACACTATTACTCAGTAGAAGGTGACAGACATAGGAACACAATTACGTGAGAGAGGGAAGGGGCTGCAGGAACGCAGCAGAGGACCTGAGTAACGCCCAGGGGAGTTCGGGAAGCTCCAAAGAAGACGTGACATTGGGCTGCATCTTGAAGAAATACAAGCGCGAAAGGGCCGGTGCTGACATTTCTCCCGTCCTCCAATGCGGGTCTCTAGTACTCGGGTGTCAAATCGTGTTACCAGTTGGTAAGACTGTAGTTGCCTGCTGAATTTATTTCAGTCCACACACTCAGTGGGAATTAGATTATTGTAGGTTCTTACATGGGCAAAATTAGGCCAGCAATACAGTCTCCCTAGGCTGCTAGGCCTCCCTTCCAAATTTGTGGTTTCCAGCTGACAGTTCAAGGACTTTACGGTATTTTAGAAAAGAGACAAAGGCTATCATTGATTCAGGGAAGACTGTGTACTAGACACTTATTAGGCACTTGAGACAGTTTTTCATATAGTCCTTGCCTGCAGTTTCAACTGTTAAGGTATACGGCAACGTTAGGTGTGCACGTTACCACCAAAGGAAGGACTCCAGCTGTCCAGTGAGGTCCCTGCCAAGTAATAACACAGCCTGGTAAATTAGCCACTCTTCAGGGTCTTCTTCTTAAGTTGTTTTTGTGGCACAGTGACAAGGCATTAGTTCTGAAAGGCAGAGTCACATTAACCAAGATCACAGAGCCTGATGTATAATACTAACAACAAATGCCTAGCACTTGCTCTGGGCCAGCCACTGTTCTAAGCACTTTCCATGTAACATCTCATAATCCTCACAGCAACACTATGTGATAGTGATAAGTGCTATTATTATTCCCATTTTACAGACGAGGAAGCTGAGAGGCACAGTGACTTTAAGCAGTTTGAATGAACACAGAATGTCAATTTGTTACTTACAGCTGCCAAGTAGACCAGTCTTTCTATCCACCTGGCCCAGGCCATCTCACCTCATGGGAACCATGCCCTCGGTTGCTTACTGGGCAATGGAATCAGAACAAGAGAAGCTGGCTACCTTCAAGGAACCCTCATCCTCTACAGCTGTACGTATAACCAGGCATCATATCGCTGGTGAAGATTCTAGAAGCTTCTCTGGCATTGGCCCCATTGTTGAGTATTCTAGATCAGGACCCAGACATCTGAGGAAGTGATCCCACTGGGAAGTGCCGTCCTGTGGGAAGGGCCTCTTTGGGGACATCAGCTATTGAGTTTGTTCACCGAGATTGCCTCCCCTTGGGTTGGTTTCCAGAAAGACCCATCCTGGTTTCTGTCTGGAATGGCCTTTCTTCTTCACTCCTCGGCTAAGCACGTCCCCCCTGCGACTCTCTTCCTTCTCATTCAGACGCTGCTTTGCCTTGGCCAAAGCTTTCCTCTAGTCCAGCTGAGTTGGTAGTTCTGGGAAGCTGCCTTTCCTCTTGAGGGATCCTGAATGTTTCCGCTGTGATCTAGGATGTATTGATTTTAAAGTGAAGAGGAGATCTTATTTCACTGATTGCCGTGTTGTCGAGTGGATTTTTGATCTTAATTAAGATATGCTAAACTGCTATGAAAAATGGACGAAAAATGTATAATGGCTCAAATACAACAGAAGTTTCTTCCTCACACACCTGACAGTTTTTGAGAGAGACTCAGGGAGCCCGTCTTCTGTTTATCTCCAACCGCTCACCTGGGTGGCTCTTCCGTCGTCGAGGTCCTGGAAGTGGCCACGGCCCGCAGAGAGGAAGGAGAGCACAGCGAAGGCCCGGCTGCTTCTTCAGACCTCCACCCGGGCGTGGCCACTCCGACACTACCTGCACGCCATCGGCCCCTCGGCGAGCTCTGGTCACAACACTGCACATCGTGCCGGGAACCATGGAAATGCAGACTGTGACCTTATTGCATCTGCTTAGGGAGAAAAAGAACTGGCTGTTGGCTCCTGCCGCCGTGGCCTCATCCTAAGCTCCAGTCACCCTTTTGCATTTTACAGGCGAGGGACCCGAGGCTCAGGGAGGGAACGGCGTCAGAGGTAGCGTAGCTGGCAGGTGGTGAAGATCAGACTCGATTCTGCTGATTCCGAAGACCTTGCTCCTTCCACAGGAACACGTTTCCTCCTGGCCCCGTGCCTGTGCACACGGCCACGACGACCGAATGGGGAAAATGTGTGAGTGGAGACAGAGTTAGGGACTTTTTCTGTTTTAAATTTGAATATAGCAGCTGTTACCTATTATTATATAACGCTGGCATTTCAAGTATAAACTATATATGCATTTCTGAAAAACCTTGCATTCTGCAAAGTCACACACTAAAATTAATAACACTTACACAAAAATTAGGATTAGAGTCAGACCACATAAAACCAATGGGCCTTTGTAACCGGATCACTTTTAAAACATTAACAATCCTAGTGAAAATACAAGTGATGTTAAATCTACACTGTTAGCACCAAGCACCATAGTTAGTCAAACTTAATGTGTGCCTTCATTTCTACAGAGACCTACTTATCAAAATTTATAAATTATCCA